GAGATGGGCCAGACCACCTCGCGCAGGGCATTTCGGAGCCCAGAGTTGCGAGGATGTCTCCAGCGTGACGGGCTCGGCTGGACCACCTCGCGCGCGGCATCTCGGACCCCAGAGTTGCGACGATGTCTCGGGCGAAACTTGCTCAGGCGAAACGGGCCGGACCACCTCGAGCGCGGCGTCTCAGAGCTCCGAGCTGCGAGGGCCTCCTGGGGCCTCCTGGGGCCTCCTGGTGACCTCCTGGGGCTTCCTCCTGGGCCTCCTGTGGCCTCCTGGACCCCGCCTGGGACTCCCTGAAGCCTCTTGGGGCTCCCAGGGGGGGATATCTAACATGTGGCCGTCGGGGCCACCCCAAATGGGGGTCCACAAGAGCAGGAAAAATCAACGAATCGACACCGGATTTGTATTGACTTGACACGTTCTGATAGGGGGCCTCCTGGGGCCTCCTGGGAGCCTCCTGGGAATCTCCTGCGGACCCCTGGGGCCTGTCCTGGGCGTCCTGCGGCCTCCTGAAGCTCTCTGGGGCCTCCTGGGGCTCCCAGGGTCCCAGGGGGGATATGTAACATGTGGTCTTCTGGGCCCCCAGGCTGGACCACCTCTTGCGCGGCATCTGGGAGCTCAGAGTTGCGAGAATGTCTTGTGCGAAACGGGCCGGACCAACTTGCGCACGGCATCTCAGAGCTCAGAGTTGCAAGGATGTCTCAGGCGAGACGGGCAAGTGTCTCCAGCGTGACGGGCTGGACCACCTCGCGCGCGGCATTTCGGACCCCAGAGTTGCGACGATGTCTCGGTCGAAACGCGCTGCGAGGAAGTCTCAGGCGAAACGGGCCGGACCACCTCGAGCGCGGCGTCTCAGAGCTCCGAGTTGCGGGGGCCTCCTGGTGCCTCCTGGGGCCTCCTGGTGACCTCCTGGGGCTTCCTCCTGGGCCTCCTGTGGCCTCCTGAACTCCACCTAGGTTTCCTGAAGCCTCTTGGGTCTCCCAGGAGGGATATCTCATCTGTGGCTTCTTGGGCCTCTCAAAATGGAGGGGGGGCGCAAGAGCGGGAAAAATCAACGAATCGACACCGGATGTGTATGAACTTGACACGTTCTGATAGGGGGCCTCCTGGGGCCTCCTGGGAGCCTCCTGGGAATCTCCTGGGGACCCCTGGGGCCTGTCCTGGGCGTCCTGCGGCCTCCTGAAGCTCTCTGGGGCCTCCTGGGGCTCCCAGGGTCCCAGGGAGGATATGTAACATGTGGTCTTCTGGGCCCCCAGGCTGGACCACCTCTTGCGCGGCATCTGGGAGCTCAGAGTTGCGAGAATGTCTTGTGCGAAACAGGCCGGACCACCTTGCGCACGGCATCTCAGAGCTCAGAGTTGCGAGGATGTCTCAGGCGAGACGGGCCGGACCACCTCGCGCAGGGCATCTCAGAGCTCAGAAGTTGCGAGGATGTCTCAGGCGGGCTCCCAGTGTCCCAGGGAGGATATGTACATGTGGTCTTCTGGGCCCCCAGGCTGGACCACCTCTTGCGCAGCATCTGAGAGCTCAGAGTTGCGAGAATGTCTTGTGCGAAACAGGCCGAACCACCTTGCGCACGGCATCTCAGAGCTCAGAGTTGCAAGGATGTCTCAGGCGAGACGGGCCGGGCCACCTCGCGCAGTGCATCTCAGCGCTCAGAAGTTCGAGGGTGTCTCAGGCGAAACGTGCTGGACCACCTCTCGCGCGGCATCTCCGAAGTCAGAGTTTCGAGGATGTCTCAGGCGAAACGGGCCGGACCACCTCGCGCAAGGCATCGCAGAGCTCAGAGTTTCGAGGATGTCTCAGGCGAAACGGCCCGGACCACCTCTCGCACGGCACCTCGGGGCTCAGAGTTTCGAGGATGTCTCAAGCGAAACGGCCCGGACCACCTCTCGCGCGGCGTCCCGGAGCGCAACTTTTCGAGGATGTCTCAGGCGAAACGGCCAATCCCGGCCAACTCAGAAACGAGAGTTGTGAGGATGTCCCAAGCGAAACGGCCAAAATCATAAAATTGTAGTGAGGATGTCTCTGCTCCGCCTTCCCTCGGCCGGAGTTAGTTTCTATCACAACAGCACCCCGTTCAGCAAGCTGTTTGGGGAAATAGTTGGAGGAGGAGGAGGGGGAAGAGGAGGATGAGACGTGGTGTAGAGGGATAGGTATCATACCGTCTTCAAACATTTTCCATCGGTATCAATCGTCATCGGCATTTTGCACATGGTGTCGATGATCTTTGCAGTGGTCGGTGGTTTTTCAGAGGTGTTCGATGTTTGTTTGCAGCCCCCAACAGTTTCCGATATTTTCTCTGACGCTGCGAAGACGACGACGGCGACGACGACGACTCGCGAGCCCTCGTGGGGGCCCTTGTGTGCCCTCTTGGCCTCGGGCCCCCCTCTGGGAAACCCCCTCCGGGACCGGCCCCGGCGACGCTCTCCCGGGACCACCTTTTCCTCCCCCCGCAGGGGAGGGATCAAGGAGGAGGAGGAGGAGGGGTGGAGGAGGAGGAGGAGGAGGAGGAGGAGGAGGAGGAGGATGACCTTCCTTCGACTCGATGTGTGTTCCCCCCCCTCTTGCGGCTCCATGGAGCTCTCTTGGGTGGGAAAGGGGGGGGGGGTTCACCACCCCCAGGACCCCCCGCTCGGGTGGGTTGCGACACCTCCGGGACAAGCCCCCCCCCTGGCACGGGGAAGGGATCAGCGGGAACAGACTTACCTTCGACTCGATTTCGTCGTTGTTCGATTTTCGTCTGGCTGTGTCGCTTGGGAAGGAGGGCCCAGGGAGAGGGGGAGAACAGCGACGGCGACTCAAACGGAAAAACGTTGCTTCTGAATCGGCGGCGCAGAGGAACCTCAGGCGCGGTCGGCAGAAGGAGGTGTCAATTGCGAACGCACTTAGTCGAACGCCCCGTGATGAAAGGATCCAGCCACGGTCATGCATATTGGTGGTGGTGGTGAAAAGATGGAGGCATCATAAAGCCAAAGTGCAGCGGCACACAGAAAGCCAAAGTGCCATGGTGGAAAATGTTTCACACACGTCAACAGGGTCGGCGGATTTTGAGTGATCTTTCCGTTGGGGAGCCTTCTCAGTTTTCGGGGGTTTTCGGAAGTTTTCCCGAATGTCTCTGATAATCGCATGAGGTTTCCACAGGAGGGGGATGAGGATGAGGAGGATGAGGAGGAGGGTAGGAACAGAGAGGGGCAGGGAGCTTCAGGGGTTCTTTTTTTTGGGGGAGGAGGAGGAGGAGGAGGAGGAGGAGGAGGAGGAGGAGGAGGAGGAGGAGGACGCCGTATGATATTTTGTTGTTGTTACCCACAGTGGGGGGAAGGTAGACGAGGAAGGACGCATGAGAGAGGGAGGAGCTGGAGGAGGGCAGTTCTTGGAAGTTTGAACAGGTTTTAAGGGTTTTGAGGGGGTCCAGCGGGTTTAAAGGGTCCTGTGGAGTCCCATTGTGTTCTAGGGGGTAGTCTCGGTTCCCGATGATCCCGATTGCTTTTCCCTGAGTCGTTTGATCTTTGTTTTCAGTAACGCACACTACGCACGTGCTCTTCCCCTCACTTCTTGCTCTTTGCCGTTGCCGTACCTTCATGCGTTTCGTGCCATACTGGTGGGCCCCAACTAGGCTTCTCATGCTGGTGGGCGCATCCAATTTCTGGCCCATCTCGACGCACCCCTTCACAGGTTTCGTGCTCCTTGGTTGCCCCAGCTGTGGCTCTGGTGAGGCTGGCCGCGCACGTCCACCGGCCCATTCTGGCACCTGTCTAGCTGAGGCTTCGAGAGCGGGTGCACACGACCACCTGCTCATTCAGGCGCATCAATCAGACGGCCCCGTGCCTCTCCATGGGCCTGACACTGCGGCCCTGAGAGGACTGAACCCGCAAGATCACTGGCCCGCGAGTCGGCGCACCCCGTCGGGCGTTTCGTGCCCCATCGGGGGCCCCAATTACGGCGCAATGAGGGCGGGTGCGTGCAACCACCAGCCTGGGCGCATCTTCCACACGATCTTGCAGGAGAAGGAGCAGGAGGAGGAGGAGGAGGAGGAGAGGAGGAGGAGGAGGACCAGTGTAAATGAAAGAGTCATCAACGATGTTGGAGTTAATCTTCCCTCCAAGCTCCATCTTCATAAGCCCCTACAACGGTTCATTTCCATTGAGGGAACTGCCTCGTTGGAAGACACCCTTGAAGACCCTGAAGCATGCCCAAACATTGTTCTCGTGATTTCAACGCCACGGATCAACCTGACTGCACTGCGTCTTGATGATCCGGAATCGTGCCAGGACGCCGTTTTTGGGACTTCAACACTGCGAATTCACCCGCATGATCCTGAATCCTTCAAACACACCATTCCTGGTACGTTGATCTTGTAATTTGTAAAACTCTTTCAAATTGTATGAACGAACGAGCGCGGCGCTATGGCGAGAGCCAAATTTTGAAAAGGAGCCGCCCTCAATCCGCTAAGCTCTTGCAGCATTCCTAACACGAATGTGCGTGGCGCTAAGGCGAGAGCCACATATCGAAAAGGAACCACCCTCAATCCGTGAAACCCTTGCAAATTTTTAAATCGAATGCGCGGCGCTCAGGCGAGAGCCACATTTTGAAAACCACACGCCCAAAATCCGTGACATTTTCTGTTTTTTTTCAAACGCATGTGCGCGGCGTTAAGGCGAGAGCCACATTTTGAAAACCACCCGCTCTCAACCCGTGAAATTTTTGCAATTTTTAACACGAATGTGCGCGGCGATAAGGCGAGAGCCACATTTTGAAAACCACCCGCCCTCCATTTGTGAAGCTGTCGCCACTTTTTAAGCTTCAGAGTCATACATGGTGCGGAAGTCTGAGGCGAAACGCCCCGCCCACCCTAAAAACTGGCCTCGGGGTGCGACAGGGAGAAGTTATGTATAAGGAAAGTGAATGGAGGAGGACGAGGAGGAGGAGGAGGAGGAGGAGGAGGAGGAGGAGGAGGAGGAGGAGGAGGAGGAGGAGGAGGAGGAGGCGAGGGCTGCCGCCAGGACTCCTTCTGGGCGGCGCTGGCGCAGACGAACGTGTCGGACGGCGGCGCGGCGCTGGACAAGTGGGAGGATACGCCGCCGCCTCCTCTCCCGCCCCCCTCCCTGCCTCCCTCCTCCCTCTCGCCTTCCTCCATTCTCCATCCTCCTCCGTCCTCCTCTATCATCCTCCATTCCTCTTCATCCTCCCTCCCCTCCCACGCATCCTCCTCGGTGGTTTGGCCGCGTCGAGTCCGGGCGGGGAAGGATGATGCGTGAGGAGGCGGAGGACCAGCGCGTGCGCGGGCCTTTGTCTGCCCACTATGCATCGACGATGCTGCTCGGCTGGGGAAACAGAAATAGGGGGCGGGCACTCCGAATTTCAAGGTGCATGGGGGGTGGTCTCATGTGGGGGGGGTCTGATTTGAGCTGTCTTGGAGGGGCCCGGAGAGGCTGGGCAGGCGGCCGCCTCTTCATAGCCGGTGCGGTGGGGGATCTGAAACTGCTCGTCTGGGAGGATTAGCGACCTCCACCTTTCTGTTTTGAAACTCAGAGCAAGGAGGGGGGAGGGGAAGGAGGAGGAGGAGGAGGAGGAGGAGGAGGAGGAGGAGGAGGAGGAGGAGGAGGAGGAGGGGGAGACGAGGAGGACGAGGAGGAGAGGAGGAGGAGGAGGAGGAGGAGGGGGAGGAGCCCTGTCTGGCGCACCCCCGCCGTCCGTGCGCGCGTCGCTCTCGGGGGGCAGCCGTCTCGTTGGAGAGCGGCGGCAGAGGAGCGCGCCGGTTCTCCCGACTGAAGAGCTCGGCCAGCCAGAGCCGCGGCCCGCTGGTCTTCGGGTGCTCTCTCTCTTTCTCTCGGAGGTTTCTGGGAGTCCCCAGCTTCCTTGGGGGACAGGATCCCGGACGTGCTCGCGTCGTGAGAAAATCAGGGCGGGAGGCTTTTGGCTATTTTCGGCCTCGGGAGGCCCTCGCCGGGCCTCGGGACCGTCAAACAACGACGCAGGATGAAGAACCGGTCCCGGGAAAAAGGGTCGGGACTTCCAGGGACGCCGTCCTGAAAAAATCAAGGACGTCGCATGTCTGGGATAGGAAGGGGGAGGGACAGGATTGTCCGAACGAGTCTCGTGGGTTCCAGGGGATTCCAGGAGGCTCCCGGCAGGGGAGAGCGGAGTAGGAAGAGAAGGAGCAGGATGGCCGCAACACCGTGGCGTCATTTGATTCTGCCGCAAGTGCTAAACCATTGTGGTTTGATTCCACGCCATCCCACCTCATCCCACATCATTCCCCCGTCCATCGCATCCAACTGGATTCACCTTCGCCCCACTTCATCTTACCTCGCCTCAGCTCCTATCATCCCGCACAAGATCATCACATGCACTACTTGCGCTCTCTCACGTCATATGAGCTCGCCTCCTGTAACCTCGCCTCACCGCACTGCGTCACGGCTCGTCCACTAGCACCCCGCGCCATCTCGCTTCGTGTCGTCCTACCTCACAAACCCACGTCGTGCCGCATCTCGTCTCGCCCCACCCCTGGCTCGCCTCCCTTCGTCTCGCACCCCACCCCACCTCGCCTCGCCTCGCCTCGCCTCGCCTCGCCTCGCCTCGCCTCGCCTCACCTCCTCCTCGCGCCGCCTCTTTTTTCGTGCCACCTCGCCACTTCACCTCACCTCGCCCTCACTTTGTGCCCTCTGACGTGCCCACCTCGCCTCGGAGTTCCCCCCCCCCCCTCCTCGTGCCCCTCCTGCTCCGCCTCCCCGGGCCTCCGACGACCCGCTGCCCTCCGAGCCTGGCCCCCGGAGCTCCCGCCTTCCCCCCCCCCTCCATCCGGGCAGGCTTGGCGTCCCCGGCCGCGCTTCTGTGGGCGGCCCTCGGGCCACCGAGAGCGGCCCCTCCGGGGGGCCGCAGCTCGCGGGCACTCTCCTCGGCGCGGCCCCGCCGAGCCGCCGGCGGGCCGGGCCCGGGCCGCGGCAGGAGCGCTCCCGCCTGTCGTACCTGGCCTCCCTCGGCGTCGCGAGCCTGGCCAGGGACGAGGCCGGCTTGCGCCGGGGGGGGCCGCGCTCGCGCGGCTCGAGCTCTCCTCCTTCGCGCTCCTCCCCCCTCCTCGCTCCTCCGGCTCGTCCTGCCTCGGGGGAGGACGAGCAGGATCGCTCCCCCTTCCCTTCTCCCCATGGTCCTCGCCCTTTCCTTTCTTCCTTTTCTATCCACCCCTTCGTTTGATTCCGCTTTTCTGTCCCCATTGAAGAGGCTTACGCCGCTCCGCCGACCTCCAAGGAGACACTCGAGAAACTTTCTTGCGCGAAAGGAAGGACTTGACAAGCCTTCCGAGCACAAGCCCGTAACATGTGGCACTTCTTATCGCAAGCATCCCGAATCTGGGTCTGTTGCAAAGCTTCTTGGAAGCCTCCTTGGATGCCTCGGGGGGGCTCTTGCGAGCCTTGTTGGGTTTCCTGGGGACCTTTCGGGATCCTTAGTGGCCTCTGTGGCTTGAGGTTATTCCGGGGTTCTCTTGGGCCGTCCTGGGCGCATCAGCGCCCGTGTTTTGGCGTTCTTGAGCTGTCTTGGGGTGTTTCTGGGGGAGTCTTCTGCGTCTTGGAGGGGCGTTTCGGACTTGAGAGTAGTACGCGAAACTGATGATGATGATGATGATGATGATGATGATGATGATGATGATGGTGGTGGTGGTGGTGATGATGATGATGATGATGATGAAGAAGAGTAGGACCAAGGTGAGGGAGATATGGGGAGGATGAGGTGCATGAAAGAGGCGGAGGTTGATGAAGAGGAGGAGGACAGCTGGAGAGGCGGGAGGAGGAGGAGGATGGAAAGGCAGAGGAACACCACCGTGGCATTTCACCCTGTCGTCGGGTTGTGAAGGTCGTCTCTTGGGGTAAGTTGTCAGCGGTAGGCTCCGCTTTTGGGAGCCCCATCTAAGCTTGTGTTGATATACCTCTGTTGCACGTCACCCTGTCGTCGGGTTGTAAGGCCTCTTAGGGTAAGGAGTCAGCGGTAGTCGCCACTCTTTGGAGCCTTATCTTAGCTTGAGTTGGTAGTCTCGGGGGCTTCAGCCCATCCCGCAACCGTGCCTGGCTTATGGGTCAGAGGCTTCTTGGAGGCCTGTAGGTGTAGAGAGAGAGAGAGAGAGAGACAGAGAGAGAGAGAGAGAGATCGCACCCGCTGGGACAGAAGTGTCCAGTCCTGTGGGTTGCAAGCACCCTCCAGGCCTACCTCGAGATGGCGGGCGGTGCCGCATGTGTACGGCAGGGGTGGCGTGAGGCCTCCCAGCTGGCGCGGTCTTAAGGGGTCCCGCTGGAACATACTGCGACGGGCGTCGTGTTGGAGGGCGTGGCACGTCCCCTCTGCGCATCCGTGGCTGCAGGGAAGCCCTGGCTTTGAGCGCGCTCTGGCAGGCCTGCCTCGGGGCCCTAAAAGACGGCCCCGCGAGGGGCATCCCCCGCCGTTGCCCACGGCGTAATCCATGGATCGATGTGCCAGAGGATCCCACGGACCGAAGGGCAGAAGACAGGGAGCCGGCGGCCATAGCGCCTCGGCGTATGAGGGGGTTGACCCCCCCCCGTGGGGGCTGAATGCGGAAAGGTGAGAAGTCCTCAGTGCAACGTGAAGCCGTGCGCCTGGACGCAGCCAGGGGCCCTCCCGCGACGATGCTTGCCCCAAAAACCGCGTAACAGGTTCTGAAATGCACGGGCCATGCACCTGGTGGCGCACGCTTGAAGAGACTGACGGAGGAAGCAGCGGCGCCGAGGGGCAGCATGGGTCTGGTGCCCTTCGGAGGCAGCGGAGCCTTCCGTCAGTCGCCGGTCGTCCTCGGAGTGCAAGTACGGACAACGTTTCGTCGTTGGGGTACGTCGGTGCCCCGCGTTGGTTGAAGGCGTCCAGCCCGGACAGGCGTCGGTCATAGGCGTCTTCCGCTTCATGGTGGAGCGCTGGAAGAAGCCGTGCACTACCATCACGCCCGTATCCTCACGATTGGCGCCAAGGGTTTCGTCAAGGCAGCAAATGAGGGCGTAGAAGCCGCATGCCGGAGTCAGGGGCGTGGTCCCGGGCAGGGCACGTGACATGGAACGCAGTGTTCGGGGGCGGCAAAGAGGGGGGTGATGACTAGGGGGGGGTTGGATATCATGGCGTGGGCCATCATATCTCCTCAGATTTAATGGCGCCTCTTCTTATTTCATTACGTTCCTGGTCCCCCCCCTGGGCTGTGCACATTCCGCTGGCCATGATTTGCGTTCCCCCCTCTTGGACGCCCCCCTCTCGGCCGCCCCCTAAGTGTTAGCGCACGGAGCGTGAGGTACCAGTCCACTGTCGGCGTGTCCGGCCGGTCCGAGGGCGGGTCGGAGGTCGGTAACCGAAGTGGGGTGAATCAGGCAGGCGTAAGTCGGGCACGTCCCTCCACATGAGGAATGTTCAAGAATAGTCAAAAAAATAAAGCGGGGACGACTTTTTGACAATTTTCGACCATTTTGAGTTTTTATTTGATTGATTTTAATTCACCTCCAAAATCTGCCTGTAGGGGGGCACGCCCGACCTAAAGGTAGGCGGCAAGCGCCCAGAGTGAGATGGCGCGACAGCCTGGTAAGAACGGAGGCCGTCGGGGGCCGTGGGGGGCTGCAGGGGGCCTCTTGCCTGGAGTACGGCGGTGTCGCCGTCGCTAGCGTGACGGCCTGGTGGCCTCCGCCTCCTCCTCCGCCTCCTCCTCCTCGTTCTCCTTCTCCTCCTCCTCCTCCTCCTCCTTCTCCTCCGCCTCCCCCGCGTCCCAGACGGAAGCCGGTTGTCCAGCCTGCGCCACACGGCTGCGCCTGGTGGCGTGCCATTCTGAGGGGCGCTGGGGGCGCGGGAGCGAGGCTCGCGGCGGGTTACGGGCCTCGTCGTTTCCACTGCGGCAGCGCGCTGCAGGGTGGAGCAGCACGTGGAGCTTTCAAGTAGTGGTGGCCAGCCGAGCGAACCCGCAAAGGAAAGTCCAAAGTGTAGGAGCGATGCAGAACGTATCTGACCAGTGATTTGGTGGTCTGGCATCCACATCCAGGGATCAATCGCTTGATCTGGTAATCGGTTGATCCAGTGAAGCTCTGAAGTGTATCAAGCGAGTTGGTCCTCTAGTGTTCTGACCTCCTTATCCGGTGATTCGATCGATTTGTAAATTTGGTGATCCAGCCGCTTGATCTTGTGCTCTGGTTGATCTGGTTTCTCAGGTTGAATGGATCAAGTGGTTTTGTGATTTGGCAATCTAGTGATTCATCCGCTTAATTCGATTATCTGGTGGATCTGGTGATCTGAGTTGAGTGAGTCAAGGGATTGAGCGATCTGGTATCGTCGCTGATTTCGTGATCAGTTTGACCTGGTGATCCATATGAGTGGATTCAGTGATCCGTTGATGCGGTGACCAGGCTATCTGCTCAACTGACCCGGTTGTTTTGGTGATCTTTTTGAATTGATCAAGTGGCCTTGTGATCTGGTAATCCAGTGATCCAGCCGCCGCTGTCGAGCATCTGGTTGATCTGGTAATTTGGCCTGGGTAGATCAATTGAATGAGTGATCTGGTGTTCTGTTTGATCTGGTGATCAGTTTGACCTGGTGAATCGTATGCGTGGCTGAGTCATTTGGCGATTTGGCGACCGCTGCCTGATCCGATTGTACAGTGTATCTGGTGATCGGATTTCGTGGATCAAGTAATACGGCAGTCTTATCCGATGATATGATTGATCCGGCGATCTGTTGGAGTGGATCAAGTGGTCTGGTGATCCGGTGGTGAATCAAAAACATCTCTAGTCCAGATGCTTCCATCCCGTCTCCCTCCCTCCCCCCTCCCTCGCGGCCGCCGCCCTTTGCCTGCTGTCCTCTTCGTCATCGTCCCTCGGTCGTCTCGGCGTCGTCTTCCTCGCGGAGCCACTGCCGTCGTCGTCGTCGTCGTCGTCGTCGTCGTCGTCGTCGTCGTCGTCGACATCGCCCTCTTCTCCTGTGCGTGGGATGCGCTCGCCTCGCTGCGTGACGCGCCAGCTCCTGAGCCCCAGGCCACTCCGGCTGTCGCGCGCGCCGCCCCTCCGCCGCGAGGCGCTGCTGCGGTTCCTGTCCGACTCGCTCGCGAGCGTGCCGCTGCCCGCCCCGTGGGTCTGCCTGTGCCCCTCCCCGGGCAGCGGGGGCACAGGGGATCAGCAGGCAGGCCAGCAGCTCCTCCTTCCTCCTCCTCGCCTCCTCCTCCTCCTCCTCCTCCTCCTCCTCCTCCTCCTCCTCCTCCCCATCTTCCTCCTCATCATCCCTCTTCTCCTCCTCTCCTCCCTCTTCTCCTCCTCCTCTCCTCCTCCTCCTCCTCTTTCTCCTCCTCCTAGTCCTCCTCGTCCTCCAGGGCGGGGAGCCGCTGCGTCCCATCCCGCCGGTGCACGGCGATGACAGGGTGAGATCCCCGGGATGGCCCGGCGGCGCGGGGGGGCGTTGCGGCGTTGTGTCCCTGGAAGGGTAGATCTTTTCGCACCTTCTCTCTCTCTCTTTCTTTTTCCTTTCTTTCTCTCTCTCTCTCTCTCCCACTTTCGCTCCGGCCAGTGCTCCTTTTTGATTCGAGGCTGGAGCGTTCGTGAGTTTCTCCCGCCCGCTCGCCGCGAGGCCCACTGCTTCTGGGAGAAAGCGCAGAGTCACTGCGTCCTGTCCCGTTGTTGGGCTGAGGCCGCGGCGTGGCCGTTGTTGGGCTGAGGCCGCGGAGCGACGCAGGAGCTTGCAAGCCAACTGGGTTTGGTCCGCGCTGGCGGCGCGTCCAGGGGGGAGGGCAGAGGGGGGCGGGCCTTCTCAGAAGGTTCGGAAGGTCGCCGGCCTTCGATGGATCTTTTCCTCGGCCGTCCCGAGGCCACAGGCCCTGTGGCGACGCGCCCGTGGCGACGCGCCGTAGCCGATGCGCGGCGGATTCGAGTCGCGGCCTTCCAGGCGAAGCAATCCTCGTGCAATCGGAAACGGTTTGTTGGCAGCGGTCCGCGCGACCCCGCGAAAAAACAAAATTTTGGATGAATCCGTTCTGCACGCGGGTCAGAGCTGACACAGGGGGGCTCTTCAGAAGGGTAGAGGGCTTCGAGAAGCCCCGCCGCCTTCTGTGAGGAGGCCTGCCCCCTCGCTGACGCTTCCCTCTCTCGGAACGCCGCCGGGTGCAGGCTGCTCGATCAAGGGTTGTTGGGCTCGTGCGTTGGCTGCGTATGGTACAATCGTACAATCTGCGTATGTGTTGCAACACAACTGCGTACTTGTACATTCACACACATGGTGTAATCTGTGCGATGCAGCCTGTGTGGTGCAATCTGCGTGGTGCAATCTATTTGTGGTGCAAGCTATGGGGTACACTTGATGTGGCCTTATCTAGGGCATGCGAACGACGTGGGGCAAGCTTTTCTGTGGCATGCTGTGTTGGTGCAGTCTTGGGAATGCAATCCATGTGGTGCAAACTACGTGCTGCAAGCTACGCGGTGCAATTTATTTGGTCCAAGCTGTGTGGTGCATTTTTTGGCCAACTCATGAGATGTCGACCCCACTGTTCGCGCAACCACTCCACCCTTCCACCCGCAATTTGGTTTGTCAGACTTATGCGGTGGCAATTGCGATAACTGTTTGGCCATGGCTGGCGCATCTCTGCGGCCGCTCTGGCGCGCACGAGGTCGCGCGCAGAGCGGCCTTCTTTGGGGCATAGCCGATGCAGCTGCGATGGCGCTTACCGATGGCAGCGTCCCAGCTCGTGTCAAAGGCCCCGCTGGCGCGCGGGCAGTTCAATGCGGGTCGGTGGCTCGGGTGGTCGCGGTATAATGATGACGTCGGCAACGGCGGCAACGATGATGATGATAATAGCGACGGTGGTGGCGATGATGACAATAAAGCAGCAGCCCAATGACGGCGTCGATGCTGGTAACGCCGATGATGATACGGTCCATGTGATTGATGATGATGAACGTCGTTGGGTGATATTGGCGGCAAATGTGACGATTGTCGATGACGACACCTTGTGCTGGTGAGGGCAATAGTCAAGAAGTTCGCGCGCGGAAAACCAAAAACCTTGGCACACCGTGTTGGGATAACCTTTGTTTTTTTATACGTTGTCGAAGTGCTTGATTTGCAATGCTGTTGAAGTCGTTGCCTGTGGGAGGACTTTGGCATCCTCCACTGGCTGCGCGCGTTGCCCCGCATGGTATTATTGGAGACAGATTAGTGCATTGTGCGCATGCAGGGTCAAAGCGGATGCGCCGCGTTGTGAGATGAGAATGCAGGTTTTAGGCGGAAGTGCTAAATCCATTTGGTTTCATTGTGATTTCCGCAAGTGCGTGCGGGCAGCACCTTTGCAATATTCGTGGTTGCAAGATCTGTGATGGCATACTTTCGGGTCTGTGATGTTTGTATGCTGAACTCATTGCTCAGCTTGTGTGCTTGCTGTGATCTCGACACGCCCTTTGCGCCAGCTTTGGGAAATGGGCTACTGAAACATCTGTTTTGCGATGGGCGTCTGTGTGCGTGTGTGTGTGTGTGTGCGCGCATAATATTTTTGACAAAGATGAAAACGGGGGCGCAGTTTGTTTGGTTGGGATGGTATTGAGTTCGAAAACAAGAGCGTGTTCTACCGCTGCTGGCGGAAAACCAGGGGGGGTCACTACCGGTTCGAACCCCTCCCCCCTCCCCCCTCCGGAAGACTGGGGGGGGGTCACTACCGGTTCGAACCCCTCCCCCCCCCCCCCAGTTCGTAATGAAAGGGGGGGGGCACTACCAGTTCGAACCCCCCCCCCTTCGAAACCCGGGGGGGGGTCACTACCGGTTCGAACCCCTCCTTCCCCTCGAAAACCGAGGGGGGGTGCGGACATAGGTGCGGACTGTGGTGGTGGGGACAGTGGTGAGGGGACAGCGGGACACTGGTGGGGACAGTGGGACAGTGGTGGGGACTGTAGTGGTGGGGACAGTGGTGAGGACAATGGTGGGAACAGTGGGGACAGTGGACAGTGGTGGGGACGGTGGTGGTGGGGACAGTGGTGTGGGGACAGTGGGAGGTGAAAACAGTGGGACAGTGGAGGGTACATTGGTGGTGGGGACAGTTGTGAAGGCGGTGACGAGGACGGCGGTGGGACAATGGGACAGAGGTACAGTGGGGACAGTGGTGGGTACAGTGGGGACAGTGGTGGGAACAGTGGGACAGCTCAGTGGGACAGCGGAGGAGTCAGTAGGACAGTGGGGACAGTGGGGATAGTCGGGCAGTGGTTGGGGCCGTGGAGAAAGTGGGGAGAGTGGAACCGTGGTGGGAACAGTGGTGGGGACAGTGGGGACAGTGCGACAGTGGTGGGAGCACTGGTGGGGACAGTAGGGACGGTGGTGGAACCAGTGGGGACAGTGGTGGTGAGGACAGTGGTGCTGGGAACAACAGTGGGGGATGTGGCGCGGACGGTGGTAGGGACCAGGAGTCGTTTGCTGGCGGTGAGTCGGGGGGGTGGGGAGGGGTTCGAGCTGGTAGTGACCCCCCCTCTGGTTTTTGAGGGGAGGGGGGGGGATTCGAACCGGTAGTGACCCCCTCTCGGTTTTCGAAGGGGGGGGGGGGGGCGGGTTAGGGGAGGGGGGGGGCTTTGCCATGGGGAGGGGGGGGGGTCCAGCAGGGGGCGGATTTTCGGAGGGGGGGGGGGACCTCCGGGCTCCGGAGGAAGAGGGGGGCAATTTTCCGCAGTAAAGCGGCGGTGGATCACGCTCTCCCAAAAAAGGAGATCCACGACGAGGCATAATCATATGTACATGGTGGTGCCATCCTTCCTGGGGGGAGAGGGTGGTAGAGTTGATTTAATCGCTTCGCTCATGCCGCCGGCCCTGGAGCCCTCTTTAGGGCCTCTTGGGGGCCTCTTGGGGACCTCTTGGGGGTCTCTTGGGGCTCCTTGGCGGCGTCTTGGGGACCCCCAGGGCCTCTTGGGGGGCTCTTGGGGGCCTCTTGGGGCGGGAGGGGGGGTAGTCGATTGTGGCTCCCCCCATCGGAGGCCACGATCCTCGTGAGGGGTGTCGAAAAGTACTCCTCCCCTGGAGTTCTGGTGGCTTCTCCCGGGACCTTGTCGGGGTACTTTTCGTACGAGGGCCCCCAGGGGCCGCTCCGCGCGCGCGAACTAGAAGCATTGTTAACCAGTTACTGGAGATCTTAGCACGCCTCTGGCCCGTTGGGTCGGCGAATTTCTTGCTCGAAGGGCAAATCTTTGTGTGTGTGTGTATGCCAGCGCCACCCAGCGCACGTGGGCGCCCAGGTGGCGTCCACGGGCTGATGACCCTGGATCACCAGCCAGCGTACGAGGCGGCGCCCACGAGACGCCCTCGGTTGCCCACCGGCCGAGGGTCTGGAAACGCCAACCAGTGCACGCAAGCGCCCACGTGGCGTTACGGGCGCCCACTGGGCGAAAGCGGGGAAACGCAGAGCAATTCTCCAGTGGCCATTGCCGAGCCCGCCACCGTGCTCGTGTTGTGGAGCAGCGGTCTCTTGCATGTCTCTTGGGGTCTCTGGGAACGCCTCCTGGAGGCCTGTTTGGATTTTGTCGGCGGTCTCCAGGGCCTCTTGGGGGCTTCTGGGAAGCTTTTTGGGGGCCTCGTGGGCCATATGGGGGCCCGCGGAGGCCTCCTGGGGGCGTCTCGGCGATCTCGGAGGCGCTAGGGATGATGCCCTCTGGGGGCCTCTTGGCGGGCTTTTGCGGGCCTCTCGGGGGCCTCGCGTCTGGGGGCCTCTGTGGGTTCTCTCGGGGGCGTCCTGGGGGCCTCTTGTGGGCCCGCCGCCGGCCTCGGGGGTCCTCTTGGAGCGGAGGGCTCGGGCTCGACATGCGGGTCGGGCCCGTGCTGGGGCCCTCTCGGTGCCGTCCTGGCCTGTCTTGGGAGCTCTTGGGCCGTCTGTGGTCCTTCTTCGGGCATCTTGGGCCCCTCCCTTAAAGGCCTGTTTGGCCATCTTGGGGCGATCTTCGGGGCCTCTTGGACCGTTTTGGAGTGTCCAGCAAACAGTAGCCTTTTTTCTATGTTTTTTTTGGTGCTTGTTCTAAACCTATGGGGATCAAATATTTTGGTATCGTGGGGCCCTCTTAGCTGTCCTCTTGGAGCCCTTTTGGGCCGTACGGGGGGCTGCTTGGGACGTCTTGAGTCCGTCGTGGACTGCCGTTCGGCCCACATGGGCCGTCTCGGTGCTCTCTATGACCGTCCTGGGCGCTTCTGGGGAGACCCTGAGCGCTTCGTGGGGTTGTGGGTGGCGGGCTCGCCGTCCTGGAGGCCGCCCCGCGAATGCCCAGGAGCGCTCGCCAATCCTGGGAAGTTCGTGCCCAGGCCCTGAGAACCTACAGTCACTCAGAATTTTGAGGCACCTCACTGCGTGCCGAAGGCACGACGGTGGATCTCGTGGATCTCCGCCAGGTGCCGGCGGCCGACGGGCGCCGCTGCTGCCCCCTCCTCTTCTTCCCACGGCCCTCGTCGCATCGGCAGCCAGGTTGTGACTCCCTCGGTCTTCCTGGCCTTCGCTGCCTCATTGGCTTGAGGAGGAGGAGGAGGAGGAGGAGGAGGAAGGAGGAGGAGGAGGAGGAGGAGGAGGAGGAGGAGGAGGAGGCGGAGGAGGAGGGGGAGGAGGCGGAGGCGGAGGCGGAGGAGGCGGAGGAGGAGGAGGAGGAGAGGCGGAGGCGGAGGCGGAGGCGGAGCGGTAGGAGGAGAGGAGGAGGAGGGAGGAGGAAGGAGGAGGGGAGGCGAGGAGGAGGGAGGAGGAGGAGGAGGAGGAGGAGGGAGGAGGAGGAGGAGGAAGGAGGAGGAGGAGGAGGAGGAGGAGGAGGAGGAGGAGGAGGAGGAGGAGGAGGAGGAGGAGGAGGAGGAGGAGGAGGAGGAGGGAGGTGGAGGAGGAGAGGGAGGAGGAGGATGGGGAGGGGAGGAGGGGAGGAGGGAGGCGGAGGCGGAGGGGAGGCGGAGGGAGGAGGAGTGGAGGGGCGGCAGGAGGAGGAGGAGGAGGAGAGGAGGAGGGCGGAGGCGAGGCGGAGGCGGAGGAGGCGGAGGAGGAGGGAGGAGGAGGAGGAGGAGGAGGAGGAGGAGGAGGAGGAGGAGGAGGAGGAGGAGGAGGAGGAGGAGGCTTGGCTTCTTCTGCCTTCAGGCCGCCGCTGCTTTCCTTGCCCCCTCCTGCCCTCTGGGCTTCCTCGCGCGGCTTTTTCCAAGGGTCTGCGTGCGGAGGTCGTCTGCTTCTTGACGGCCCTGGGGCCCGGGCACGGCCCCGGGAGGCGAACAAGATAAAACGGCATAATCATATATTTTTGGCGCTCCGTGCGGAGCGACAGAAGTTTCTGTTTATGACGTTTTGTCTTCTTTTAGGGAGACCGCAGGCTGCGAAAAACACCACCCGCAATTATTCGAGTCGCCTCAGGTCGGCGTCCCCCCAACATACTAATACTACGGCAGGTTCGCGTCGTGTCGACCAGCGACGACCCCGCCGCCGGCGTTCGACGTTGAACGCTCCCGGCGGCCCAGAATCGGTCGATATTGAACGATCCTGACGTTTCGGGAACGGCCGATCGTTCAAGACAGAACGATCCCCGCGGTGTCGGGAACCAACCCTGTGGTCTACACGAAACAGACCTGCCGTACATGTGCTTCGCCCTCCCAGGGGCGACGCGCACACCGAGAAATCTTCAAGTACATGCGTCGCGGCGGGCGCTTTCTGGCCACAACTCTCGGGAAACGATATACTACAATATGGGTATACTATACGTTCGGGTCGGACGAGCGCCTCCAAGGAGGACATATATAGTGTGTCCTTGTGCGTCCCATCAGGTCTGAACTCTGCCTCGAATCTGGGACGAGAACTGTGCACGCGGGATGCCCAAACAGCAATGGGCTCCCAGCGTCTAGGCAGCGCTGCCCTGACGTAGGTGTGAGCTGCTTCGAGCTCCTGTGTTCCTTTTTCCGATGCGCCGTCTAGGCCCCAGGCCTGCTTGCTTGCTTACTTGCTTGCTTGCTCAGGTTTAAAGTCGGGGCTCAAGAATCGCCCCCCCGGACCAGACTTGCCCCATGGTGCGTTTTTGCCATTTTTTCGATGGGGCGTCGGCCGTGGCGACGACCCGCGAGATTTGAGGTCCGTCGTCCACGATCTCGATCCTCGATCCTCGATCTTCGGTCCTCGATCTTGACTCGATCTTCGATCTTCGATCTTCGATCCCCCTCGATCTCGATCGTCGATCTTCGGTCATCGAGCAGCCCGCCGATCCCCAGGTCATGTGCAAGGACCTGGACGGCAGGGTGTTCTTCGCGAACGCCGTGACGCGGATGATCACTTGGAGTCACCCCTTGGAGCAGCCGCTCAAGGAGCCCCCTCCCCTGTTGGGAGGCAGAAGGATCTTGACGTCTTGGGCTCACTTCGGGCTTCGGGGGGGGCCCTTGTGGCCACGGCTGGACGCAGCTCGAAGACCTGAGTCTGTGACGAGGCCCGAGTCTAACCAGGATTTTCGGCCTCCTCTTGCTCAGGTTCTCGGGCCCAGAGCAGGCCGCGCCACCGGATCAGGTTCAGATTGAGAGTCATGTGGGCGCTGATCGATTCCGCATGCCCTTCCCGAGCTGCTTCGGCTCGCGAGTCGGGAAGCCGATCGCGTTTCGGGCTGGGAGACGTGGCAGTGTCAGATCGAGCCCGAAACTGCAAAGAGCCGCCAGGCTGTTGCCGCCCCTGCGGACGGAGCAGGATCGGCTCCGCCTCGCAGCCTGCCCTCGCCGCGCTGGCCAGGCACGACGGCAGGGGGCGGAGGGAGAGAGAAGGGGACAGGCCGCTCGAAGGCGTCCAGAAAGCGGGCTTGCCTCGCCCTGCGGGGACCGTGAGCGCGTGACCCTCACCACTGCTGGTTTTCAGTGTCTCTGGAGTCTCGGGTCAGTTGCCGTCTGGGTCCTCGTAGGCCCTTCTTACAAGTGGTATCGAAGACTCCTGCGGCACATCACCGCCAACCCCTGCCTTCAGCCGTTGTGGAAACCCTTCGGGGAACATGCGGGGGAGAAGAAGCGGAGGAGAGGGAGGACACATTAAGAGGATATGCGAGAGGAGGAGGAGGAGGAGGAGGAGGAGGAGGAGCAGGAGGAGGAGGAGGAAGACGAGGAGGAGGCGGATGATGATGATGATGATGATGATGATGATGATGATGATGATGATGATGATGATGATGATGATGATGATGATGATGATGATGATGCTGATGATGATGATGATGATGATGATGGGGAGGACGAGGATGAGGATGAGGATGAGGATGAGGATGATGGATGATGATGATGATGATGATGATGATGATGATGATGATGATGACGATGATGATGATGATGATGATGATGATGATGATGATGATGATGATGATGATGATGATGATGATGATGATGATGATGATGATGATGATGATGATGATGATGATGATGATGATGATGATGATGATGATGATGATGATGATGATGAAAGTGATGATGCTGCTGATGATGCTGGTGATGATGCTGATGCTGATGCTGCTGCTAATGATGATGATGATGCTCATGCTGATGCGGATGCTGATGCTGATGATGATGCTGATGATGATGATGATGATGATGATGTGATGATGATATGATGATTGATTGATGAGGAGGAGGAGGAGGGAGGAGGAGGAGAGGAGGAGGAGGAGGAGGAGTATGAGGAGGGAGGAGGAGGAGGAGGAGGAGGAGGTAAGCAGGAGAAGGGAGGAGGGGAGGAGGAGGCGGAGGGAAGTGGAGGGAGGAGGATTAGGAGGAGGAGGGAGGATGAGGTGGAGGAGGAGGAGGAGGAGGAGGAGGAGGAGGAGCTGGAGGGAGGAGGAGGAGGTGGGAGGTTGTGATGTTGAGGAGGAGGCTGAGGGAGGAGGCTGAGGAGGCATGAGGAGGCGGAGGGTGGAGGAGGAGGAGGGGAAGGAGGAGGAAGGAAGGTGGAGGAGGAGGAGGAGGAGGAGGAGGAGGAGGAGGAGGAGGATGGGGATGGGGTGGAGGCGGAAGGCGAGGCGTGAGGGCGAGAGGCGGAGGAGGAGGAGGAGGAGGAGGCGGCGGGTATGCGGTGGCGGAGCCGGAGGAGGAGGGAGGAGGAGGATGAGGAGGAGGAGGAGGAGGAGGAGGAGGAGGAGGAGGGAGGTGGAGGAAGGTGGAGGAGGCGGGTCGAGGCGGAGGAGGAGGAGGAGGAGGATGAGGAGGAGGAGGAGGAGGAGGAGGAGGAGGAGGAGGAGGAGGAGGAGGACACCTTGGGCCTCCTGGGAGCTTCCTGCGCCTTTTGGAAGCCTCCATGGGCCTCCTGGAGGTGTTTGGGGGCTTCTTGAGGGCCTCTTGGGCCATCTTAGGGCGTTCCTGGCCCGTCTGACGCTGTCGGACGCCGTCTTGGATGCCTCTCTGAACCGACTTGGGCCCTCTTGAGGCGCTTCAGATCCGCCTAGGAGGCCATCTTGGGCGTCTTGGGAGCCTCTTGGGCCGTCTTGAGGCCCTCTTCGGGCCGTCTTGGAGACTTCTTGGGCCGTCATGCGGTCATCTTCGAGACCTCTGGGGCCATCTTGGGGCGATCTTCGGGGTCTCTTGGGCCGCTTCGGGCCGTCGGAATGCCAAAAAGAAGCAAATGCCATAATCCTTCAAACACTTATGGAAAATCAATGACTTATTGGCTGACGCCGCACCGCCGACCCCTTGGGGCGGCAGGAAGAGTGAAAAACTGAGTTTGCGGAACGCGTGCGATTTCTAGGGAATCCTGGGGTTCCAGCTTCTTGGGATTTCGTCGGGTGCGGTTGGCGGATCGCGGCTCTGCTCTTAGGCTTCTTTGGGCTCTCCTGGCAGCACTTTGAGGCCTCTTGGGAGCCGTGTTGAGGCCTCTAGGGGTCTCTTTTGGGCCTCTCGGGGGCCTCGCGGGAGCTTCTTGGGGGCCTCTTGGCGCCTCCTCAGGTTTTTTCGGGGCCGAGTGCTCGAAATGTCCATTTGGGTTCCTCTCTGGGCCTCCTCTTAGGGCCGTCCTGGGGCCCTCCTGGGCCGTTTTGAGGCTTCTGGGGCCGTCTTGGGGCCCTCTTGGGCCGTCTTGGAACCCTCTTGGGGGCCTCTTGTGCCATCCTGGGTCGATCTTGAAGGCTTCTTGGGCCAAGAGGCGAATGTGCAAACATATATGTTTTCCTCGGGGATGGGACGATTTTTGCTTCTGGAAGGCCTCTTGGGACGCCTCTTGGTGGCTTCTCGGGGCGTCTTGGGGGCCTCTGGGGCCGTCTGGAGGCACTCTTGGGCGTCTTGTGGCGATCTTTCGGCGACTCGTAGCCCTCTTGGACCGTCCGGGGCGCCTTTGGGGCCTTATAGATCACCCAAGGAAGGGCTACCCTAGGGCTACCCCTAGGGCCTACCCCTAGGGCCACCCTAGGGCTACCCTAGGGCCTACCCCTAGGGCTACCCTAGGGCTACCCTAGGGCCTACCCCTAGGGCTACCCCAGGGCTACCCCTAGGGCCTACCCCTAGGGCTACCCTAGGGCTACCCTAGGGCCTACCCCTAGGGCTACCCTAGGGCTACCCTAGGGCCTACCCCTAGGGCTAATCTGGGGCTACCCCTAGGGCCTACCCCTAGGGCTACCCTAGGGCTACCCTTAGAGCCTACCCCTAGGGCTACCCTAGGGCCTACCCCTAGGGCTACCCTAGGGCTACCTCTGGGGCCTACCCCTAGGGGTACCCTAGGGCTACCCTAGGGTGTCCAGTAGGGCCTATCCTTGGGAAGCCTGGGGCCTTCTGTATGTGTAATCCGCCACACAAGCAAGCAATGCCTTTAATGTCCCGCCCGCCCGCCCGACAAAAGGAATCAGCTTGTAATCCGCCACAATAGTAATCAACTTGCAATCCGCTGCCAAATGGAATCACTTTGTAATCCGCCACGAAAGCAATCAATGCATTTAATGTCCCGCCCGCCCGCCCGACCAAAGGAATAAGTTTGCAATCCGCTGCCAAAGGGAATCCATGTGTAATTCACCACACGAGCAATTATTGCCTTCAATGTCCCGCCCGCCCGCCAGGCAAAAGGCGCTCGACCAAAGGAATAAGCTTAAAATCCGCTGCCAAAGGGAATCCATTCGCAATTCACCAAACAAGCAATCATTGCCTTTAATGTCCCGCCCGCCCGCCAGACCAAAGGAATCAATGTGTAATCTGCCACAATAAGAATCAGTTTGCCATCCGCCACACAAGCAATCAATGCCTTTAATGTCCCGCCCGCCCGCCCGACAAAAGGAATCAGCTTGTAATCCGCCACAAGTGGAATCTACTAGTAATCCGGTACCAACGGGAAGCAATTGGTAATCCACCACACAAGCAAGCAATCAATGCCTTTAATGTCCCGCCCGCCCGCCCGACTAAAGGCATCAAGTTATAATCCGCTACCAAGGGGAATCAACATGTAATCCGCTCAGGGGGGGGTCAGCGAGGGGGGGTCCCAGAGGGGGGGTCTGCGAGGGGGGGTCTGCGGCGCCGGGGCCGCGGTCGCCCGATCAAAGGAATCATATTGTAATCCGCAATAAAGGGTTACCCCTAGGGCCTACCCCTAGGGCTACCCTGGGGCTACCCCTGGGGCCCACCCCTAGGGCCACCCTAGGGCTACCCCTTGGGAAGCCTAGGGCCTTGGGTAGGGCCTACCCTTGGGAAGCCTAGGGCCTTGGGTAGGGCCTACCCTTGGGAAGCCTAGGGCCTTGGGTAGGGCCTACCCTTGGGAAGCCTAGGGCCTTGGGTAGGGCCTACCCTTGGGAAGCCTAGGGCCTTGGGTAGGGCCTACCCTTGGGAAGCCTAGGGCCTTGGGTAGGGCCTACCCTTGGGAAGCCTAGGGCCTTGGGTAGGGCCTAGGGTAGCCAAGGCCCCCGGTGATCTATACCTTTGGGGCCCTCTTGGCCCGTTTTGGGGCCCCCTGCGGCTCCAAGGGTGCGAGGGGCACTGTTGCCCCCCACCCCCCCCTCCCTCCAAACCGGCCGGATCGGGCTCCCGGGGGAGGGGTTTGGGGAGGAGGGAGCATCTCACACGCCGTGACCCCAAGGGGTCGGCGGGTTTTGACCTCTTCGGGCCCTCCTGGAGGACCTCTTGGGGGCCTCTTGGGTCGTCTTGGAGGCTTCCCGGGGGCCTCTTGGGCCATCTCGGGCCGTCTTGGAGGCATCTTGGGCGAACTTGGAGTCCATCTTGGACCATCTTGGACGTCAAGGAGGCCATCTTGGGGCCATCTTGAGCGGACAAAAAGCCGACGAGGTAGGCAGCCGGCGCGCTGGGCCAAAGCCCCAGGGGGAGTAAGACCAAAAAGCGTGTAGGGTTTAGCACGCCAGGCACACCTGTGATAAACC